GCGAGTCAAGCACCCTAACCACCTGGCCATGCCAAGCCAGGGCAAGCTGGATCGGAATGGGAGTACAACTGTGAAATAGAACATATGGAAATCCAAGTGAAGGCAAAATTACCCTCCCAAGCAGCAGAGGTCTTGGGAAAGAATGATCTGAATAAAGGATGACACAGGTGCTGTGGTAGAGACACAAAAGACATTGAGGGTAAACACATCCAACTGATGATGTCTGCAGGCTAAGAGGAAAAGGTCTTCAAGGAAAGGTGGTAAAGGGATCACAAAGACAAAGGTTTGAATAGAGGGGCAGTAAGGGCAAGTGAGACAATATTTATATTTCAATACTGCAAGGGTGTGGGTTGGAGAACTGGAGAAGAAAAGACGTGGCAGAAATGAGCAGGTGAATATGCTGGCAGTGACCTCAGAACAGGAGATCCAATGTGTAGAAACACAAAGACTGAGAACTGGTACCCCACTGCCAAGTGATGTAAGAGATCACAGGCGAGTTATTGGAATGGAATAGGACTGATTTATCCCATAGAATTGGAAAGAAATGATCTAATGCCCAACTGACAGCCAAGAGATCCAGAATATTGATATGGAAACCTGACTTGAACAAAGACCAATGGCCCAAGATCTCTTTAGTTTCCAAATATGCCCCCAACCCAACAGAGAAGTATTTGAAAAAAGGTGCAAATCCAGTATGGAAGATGGAACAGGAAAGGGTGACAAGGGAGGAGGGTTGAGAAAATGAAAGGAGGGTCATTCTGAAAAAAACCCAAAAAACCCAGATAGAAGTGAAATAGAACAACCTTGTCCCCACTGGACCTGTACCTTCCTGGTAGACACCAAAACCAATGATGGCATGTGGACTGGCCTTACATAATATGACAACTCATTGCTGAAACCTGAGAGGAATGAATGGGCAAGGTGCAGGAAGGAGAGGGACAAGAAACAAGAACAGGTTGAGATAGATGAGTGGAAAGGGGGGATGTTGAATTATGCAGGCAAGCACACTCCACACAAGACTCTAAGGAATCAAGGAGACCCCCCCCAAATATGGAATGATGCAAAAAGGGAGCCATATGTAAGTCCCACAAAGATGTGGGGTACATGCCACATGCCAAAAGTGTATACCTACTCAAAAAATCTGAACAACAAAGGGACCAGGTGTGAAGGGAAAGAGCCAACGTAATGAAAACAATAGCACCAACATGATTAAAAGGAGGAAATAGGCATTCACCGATAAACTCTTGGGAGAATTATGGGTAGTCTCCGACAAGAGATGAATGAAGGAAAGTAACAATGGAGGAAGGATAAACTGAGCCTGGAAAAAATAACTGATGTATTGAGGCCCTACCCCCAAACCTCCAACTGCTAAGAGTGGAGGAAGGGATTTGCAGAACAATAATAAGCCAACACACGAGCCTCAAAAGTACATGGGGGCGAGGCATGCTGATCCCCAAAGTCGAGAAAGGGAGGAAAAAGGAAATAATCAAAAGAAAGCGAGTCATATAAAATGGAGGGGGAGGGGTCATACAACACAGGGAGCGAAAACAAAATGTAACATACCTGTGTCAACAAGTCCAGAAAATTAGATGAAGGTTGAGGCATATTTACAGATGTTGATCAAGACTGTGAAGCAAAGGAAGGAAGGAGGAAAAAGACTGTCCAAGTTAGTCTTCACCATCCCACCCAGTCTCCTCAGGCAGAGGAGAACCATCAGATCACATGAAAGATCCCAACTCCTAGTAGACAAGGGCCGAAATCTCCTCAGCAGATAACATTGAGCCAGAAGCCACAGAAACAGATGGTTGGTCAGTGGCATGGATAGCAGTTGAAAATATAGTAACATTAAACTGCAAGTTCATCACAATAAATTAAATGGGTTACACACTGAAAGCAAACCTCCTTGGGGCAAAAATAGCTTGGAAAATCAAAGAAAAAAATTACAAAAATTGAACTTGGAATGAATTGCAAAAACTGAAGTTCAAACTAGGTATAAAAAAAAAAAAGTAGTGAGCCAAACACTTGAGATTGCCAACTCGAGAAGTAAAGATGAGGTTCTACAGCATGGAGAGAGTCAGCTGTGCAAGGAAGGTGTGCCACTTTCCTACTGGTAGAGGGTTGTTGCATACTTATTTGCATATTACAGTGCAGCAGTACCACATTAAAACACATGATGACAGGTGGGAGTATCAAGGCTAATGGCAAGTGAAAAGTATGCATACAGAGGGCAGTAATGATTGAGAAAAACTATTATGTGAATGGAAGTAAGATATCATATCAGAATTAATGACTTTTTTGAGTGGCATTTTATGTTGCAACCACATGCACCTGCATGTATGAAACTTGAAAAATATTATATTACATAAGGAGATATAAAACACACAGTATGCCTACATATACCACCACTTCTTAATTTTTGCACTAAATCCATAATAATCCACCTTTACAAGAGCTTTTTGAAAATCTAATGTACATATAATAGTATAATAAAAAACATTTTGACCCCACACAAAAAATAAAATGAATAATTGGATCCAGAGGCAATGCAAACAGAAAATATCCTAACAAAAACTTTAACACAGGGTCTTTTCCTCAATCAAAAGCACTGGTGGCAGAGACTGGATGTATAAAACTTTGAGTTTATCTGATTTTATGGCATATGATGAGATATAATGACAAAAATGACTGAGTTATGACTGTCCACATCATCAACATAACTAATAACAGTATCTCTTCTTGTTGAACTGATGGTTCCACTACGTGAGCCTTTTCGTCTTTGTTCATTGTTTCATCTGTTTTTCAGATCAGAGCCCAACAGATCTTCAGTAGGTAGCTCCAAGCCCACTAACTGTGATTGGAGCTTCACTACACTTTGGCATGTCACCATTATTCCCTTGATTGCCTGCATGTGTAAAGTTCCAAGACCCTAGTTGCAACCTGTGCAGCTGCTGTGGATGGAATCACAATAGATTTTTTGGCAAGTCCCCTTGAGGCAAATCCATAAAGCCCAAAGATGCTGTGGCAGAACTCAAATATAGATTTGGTGTTAACAAGGACAGTAATGATAGTAATAATAGCCTTCTGCCAGATCAGTAGATCAAGAACACGGTCTCCACCAACCTCAAACAGACAAAGAAGAAGGGTCACATAATTTGATTTAAGAATAAAAAAAAAAAGAGAGAGAGAGAGATATATAACTAATTAGTGTGATTAACCATTGTTGGTAAGGTGGTGCAGCCACTCTGAAACTCTGTATCTCTCAAACTGCTCATAATCTCCAACTGAAATATCTTACTATCATATGGATTGCAAATTTTGATGCAGAAGATTCTGGACTTTCTAACAGTGTTTGCAACATTTCCAATAAACAATTGCCAAAATTTCTTGTTCCTTGCTTTATTTTTTTTGAAATAGAAGACTGTATTGACAATCTTCCAATCATGAGAATTTTCCCCACAGTATTAGCAGTATTAACACAGTATTTAAAGACAAGAATGGAAGCTCATCATTTTGTTACAGAGGTCTTTGAAATTGTACAAAAGTTATAATCAACATCTCTTAAAGGAACAATATTTATTGTGATTCTTTTTTTTGCAATCTAAATTCATGCAAATAACATGTCACTATCATACAGTAAGTATTCGCAAAAACATAAGGTTCAATATGTTCTGAACTGGTAAGCTTAAGTTTTATGCACCTATGATACAACTTTTAATAACTTATACAGATGTCCATATAACATGAACACACTTTATGTTTAATAAATATAGCCTACAAAAAAATATAGATATATTATTAGAGTGAAATTGGATTACAGGAAAGTAAAAAAATAATTCTGGGTGTCCACCCCAAGTAGGGGCAACACCCCATGAAAGTTCAGTTAGCTAGTATTACTCAATAAGTATGGTATTATTCATTACGTCTGAGTTAAAAACAAAACTTATTTTTGTAGCTAAGATTAATTCACTAGGCCATAATAAAAATATAAGGCTAGATCTACTTTTATTAAAAGTCAGATTTTCAGTTATTTTTTAATTTAAATTTTTTGTTATACTGAAATGAAAAGTAAAACTTGTACAGGCAATAAAAGCTGCCATTTGTAGTCACTGAATGCAATCTACTCAAAATTTGTTTATTAAAATTAAATTATAGTTTATGAATAAAACAATTCCATCAATGTTAGCAACATGTCCAAAATTGAGAAAAATAATTGGAAAATTACAACATGTACACATGGTCTTGAATTTATCAGAATTGTTTATGGGTGTTATTTATTTTATATTTGGTACTTCATCAGTACCTCTTACTTTTGGTAGTATAATAATCTGAGTCATGAAAAGTGCTTTATAATTAAATGGATAAACAGACTGGGTGCAAGTATCTACTAAATTCATTCAAGACATTTGTAACAACAAGGCACTCGTTTGTAGTCAAATACTACAGAACAAAGAGTATATTTTATGCACAGAAAATTATCAATGTTAAAAAAGTTGTCTAACTCCTGATGAACTGTAAACAATGAACCTGTTTAGTTAACTTTTTGAAATTAGAAAAAAAAAATCTTAAAATAAAAACAGATGGCCAGGGTATAAATAGCTAGGGGTAAGCCCAAGTATCTAAATCACAATGACAATTCTGCAGTAGCACCTATCTTTCTTAATAATTCATGCTGGGTGTGTTAGTTGCAGTGAATTTAATTGATCATTAATGTCAATGAGGCTTAACCATAAAAACACTTATAATTATTACTCTAATAATAATAGATAATAAGCAAAAACATGAAATTAAATGTAAATCAATGTATCTTCAAAGCCTTGAAACTGGTTTATACACTAAATACACATTTTCACCTTTATACTCAACAATGCAGTATTTCATATATAAGACTACATGTAAATTTATAAATTGAGTTTTTTTTTAGTTTAATATGTATATAATTTTATTTAGTAACATTTATTAACAACACCATAAAATGTTTTAATTTTGATTATCTGACCTACCTTGGCAATCACAACTTCTTGTTTATCACTGTCAATATTGTATTTCTCTGCTAACTCATCCCAAATTGGTGCTAATCGTTTGCAATGACCACACCTATATAAAAAAACATTATAACACTATCAACAATAAAATTTTGAAATTCAGGATGTTGTTTTCAAGCTTAGGAACAAATATTTTACCAAGCTGTATTGTTTTTAAAAAAACAATGTTATTGTCATTACATTTAATATGTTTCTATCAAACACTAACGAATAACTACAGTGGTATGACAAAGCATACATTCCTGCGGAGTTCAAGTCAGACAAATCCTAAGTTTTTCTTGTGTGTGCTCTCTCTCTCTGTATAATTTGAGTTTATATTTTGTTTAAAATGGAAAGATGTTATCGATGAAGGCACAGAAATTATGATGTAAAGGATTCACTGATGAGACAGCAGTCTGAAAAATGTGATAATACGGACCAGGAGAACTCCTCTGAAGGAAGTAGGCATTTCATTATAAGCCAAAAGAACAGTCTTTGTTTTTAATATAACCTTGAGATGAGGATGTTGAAGTGAAGCCTATACTTCCAGGGCACAGATCTGATTTGCTCTCCAAAGTTTGCAATAGATGATGACCTTAACTCCTAGCCACCATGACAATAACCATTCTGAGACACAGTAAGATTGACTACACAGAACTACTAGATGGTAACCAATCAGCATCAATGATCCCCATGGTTGTAGGTAGTCATCACTGACTAGTCAATGGTTGGAGATGTATAGGAGGATGAAGTTCATGAGCCCATAACTGTCTCATAACTGAAGCAGCAGAATCTGAACAGGAGACAGGAAACCCTGGGAAAAGCAAAAAGCCTAATGGAGAAGAATGATAATCTGCCAAACCCACCAATAACAACCTAGAAAAACTAAGATCCTGTGAAATTATGTGACAACATGATTGTAACTATAACCTACTGTCCAGCAGAACTAGGGCAACAGCTCACTATCCGTTTGAATGTCTGAGCTTCCAGATACTATGAGAAGCTGAAACCTCTTTGTTGTATGGTATTTCAATTGCTAGTTGACGGAACAGACAAATGTAAGCCTTTTTTCACACTGCCAAGTTATACTGGTGTAAGAATAAGCAGGTCAGCCAACCAACCTTTAAAGAAATACATTGCAAAAGAAAAACTAGACCATATTCTGAAATGTTTCAGCTAATATTCTTCATTAGTCACTCAATTACAGCAGTTAAGATGTCATAAGGAGTTCCACAACAACACTACTAAAAGGTAGTTATACTCTATAATTTCCATGAAATAAAGTAATTTAGAAGCTAAATTACAGCCATTAAGCTACAACTTTGAATGGCTAAGAAAGCCTAAAAGCCAAAACAGCTTAGCATCTTCAATGTTCAGAGGTATGGAATGGCTTTAAGTGGTAATATGGTATTCTCAACTGAAAAAATTTCATCACAAGTATTCGATAGGTCTGCTTAATAACAGCAGAATTTGAAGAGAAAATTTAATGTTAACATTTTCTAACACTGAAAATGTATTTCTGATAGCTACTTACCCCCTCACCTAAAGCTATCTTGACCTTGATTTGCCCTCTAAGCATTGTTTAAAGTTTCAACAGCATACCAGTCTTTTACACCCCTTCATTTTTGTGCCATTGCAGCAACATGTGCTGATCATGTGACTATTCTCAACCAACCATTGTAGCACAATCCTCATTTTGAGAATTTACAGATACAAACCAGAAACACCAGCAAATCAGTGGGAAGGAAGGGCAGGAAGTGGGTGAGAAAAGGTAAGTACCTATCGGAAATATATTTTCAGTATTAGAAAATGTTAATGTCTAAAACGGTACTACCTACACTCACCCAAAGCTAGAATCTCATACTGCAGAGGTGGTGGGGCCAGTGAAGGTGCAAAAGTAATCAAATAAGTAGAGAATAACCTCCATGAAATAACAGGTGTGCCACAATTATAAAGGAAGTACACCTGTGAGGTATAGCACTACTTCTGGAATAAGTATGCTCTTCACCAAGTAACAAAGTAAGACACATAGGGTGGAACTTAATAGACAGGCACTGTGTTATGAAATACAGATTCCACCACCCACAGACAACCAATAGTACACAAGACATCCACATATGTAACAAGCCTGAACACGTGACACAATCATAGTCAGATTTGAAGAATAAGCGGCTAGGGCTAAAGGACTGTAATTGTAAATATATATGAATAAGCCAAGTGCATTCCACCAATGCAAAAAATATCCAGGGGAAGTGCTTTAGTATATATTGGATTATGCCAAATGAGGTCTTCCTGGTCAAAAACAACAGTGGAAGTGTCCTGCATAAGAATGTAAGATCAACAATTGTGGTCTGCCCTGGCAAAAAACATCAAGATAGCCAAGTGTGGTCAGCCCAGGCAAAATATCCAGGGGAAGACACAGCTATGTTGTGCAAGTAAAGAATGACAAATGTATTAAGAGTTATCCACATAACAGGCTGAACGATTTCCTCCAAAAGAACGGAGATGCAAGCAGCTAAAGATATAGATGACAAATTTGGTGCAAAGAAACATGATGTAGATGGCGATCATCTATGGACACGTCAAAATACGCCAGTCCTATGAATGGACGAACTCAACCAGTGAGTGTAATAGGTGAAAAGATTGTGGAAAACAGAGGAATTCCATGGAATATGAATGAGAACCATGAAAGGAGGCACTATGAGCCATATAACATAGCAGGTAAGGGAAAAAAACTCAGGAGAGGAGTCTGATCAGAGGGTAGACATATAGGTGTAGAGCACTCCAATCTTGACTGGAAGCATCCATCTCCAGTGCTGAGGTACTGGATCCCAAAAGGGAAGGAAGTTTGGCATTCCAGTGAGTGAAAAATGCATATAAATATGGAGTTCCCAGCTGAGAACACACCAAAAAAAAAAAAAACTGAGGATGAAGGAACCATTGCATGAGAAGAACCTGGTTGGAACATGATAAGCAATCAGCCACATGATTCATAACTCCCGGAACATGACAGAGAACAGTCATGTCATGGTCGTTGATCTAGTACAGGAGATCCAGAATCTGAAAACACAGAGATCTGAGCTTGGTTCCACCTTGCTTGGTAACTTAGCTGATAACAGTGGAATTGTCAAAATGAGCTATAACCACCCACCCACCCCTGAATGAATTGGAGGAAATGATATACAGCCCAATGACCTGCAAAAGGTTCCAGGATGTGAAAATGGAGAGTAGCCTCCTCGACTGACTACAGACCCGATATCTCTGGAGAATTGAGAAAAGTCCCCCCCCCCCAAGCCCACCAAGAAAGCATCTGTAAACAGATGAGACTTGGTATGAGACAGAGGAATGAGAACCCCCACTGTGGTCAAGTCTCTGTCGAGCTACCAAGCAAGGTCAGCCCTGATTCCAGGTGGAAGAGAGATGGGATGGTCCAAGGGATCTTGGAGGAAGTTCCATTAGGTAAGAAGCATCCAAGAAAGGGAATGCATGTGTGCCTGACCTAAGTGAATGAGAGCTTCCAAGTAAGCCCACAACCTCAAAAGAAAGAGAACCTCTAATGCAGAAGGAGAAGGTGGGGCCTTCATGACTGCCCACTCCATATCGTTGAGCAAAAGCGGAGGAGGCTGGGCTCAACCTTGACAGGAGGTGAAGAGAACCCCCAACTGAATAAGATACTACCAGGGGGTGGTAAAGGACTTCTCTAACTAGATGTCAAACCCAACTCAAGCATCTTCTCGAAGAAGTGTGTGGGTGTGAGTGACTGACTGGGTATGGGAAGAGGCAAGCAAAAGCCATTGTCCATGTAATAGAGTCCAGAGACCCATCAAGTGAAGATGACATGAAAAAGAGCATACCACTCGACAAAACACATATGTAACTGAAGAAAGACCGAATGGCAGCACTCAGAACTGGAAAACAGAACACTTGTGGAAAAACTGAAAAAAAAACATGACACTGGGGCAAAAAAGCCACCAATGTGAGAGGAAGAACTTCAGAGCAAAGCAAAGGGTCTACAGATAAGAATACAGCTGAGAAAGAGCTATGATAGAACTCCAATCTCCTTTGTTTTTGGAGACAACAAACAGACAGGAATAAAATCCTTGTTGAGTGGGCACCACCCAATCGACAGCTCCTTTGTGTAGTAGGTCTTGCACACACTCGGCAAGAGGACTGGGCATGGTAAAATCCTGAGAAGGAGGGAAGGAGATTTGGGAAGTGGATAGAGGGGGAGCAAAATGGAAAGCAGAAACATACAGAAAGAACCTGCAGAACCCACGGATCTGTCTTAAAGTGTAGCAAAAAGACACAAACTAAACATATTGAGTGATAGCAGAAACATGTGAAGTCTACAAAGCACATAAAAATAAATCTTCAAAACTATGAAAATCAACCTAAAACAGAAAACAATAAGTAACACCTAAAGTACAAAACCACTAAAGGAATTTAGAAGAGAAACGACCCTTAAATATTGAGTATACAAGTCCACCCAAAGAATCTATAAAACAAAGGAAACAAAAATGACCCTAAAGAACATGAGAATAAAAGGTACACAGTTAACAATAACAAAATTTAACTCAAATCTAATCCCCAATTAGATATGACTAGTAGTACAGAAAACTTAACGTACAAACAAAATAGCATTAACAGTGAAAAGAAGTAAAAATACAAACAAAAACAAAGGAATAATCAAACACCAAATGCAAGTTCAAACTAAATTAACCTAGATGGTAAAAGAAGTATAAAAATCTAGCTTACCCAACACAGAGCAGAAAAGACATGAATGACTTAAATTATTGAGTTTGTAAACTATGTCCATCAACACAAGTTAATATAGTCATTGAACATGGGTATACTTGCAGGGAGTGATAAATACACACTGAAAAACTTACCACAGATTTCCTAGGAAACGAACAATATCTAATCCAGCAAATTACATGGAGGCGTGGCAATAGGTGGATAGTGTTGTAAAAAACAATTTCAGCATGGTAGTTATATCACTCTTCACAAAAACCATAATGTGAAAGGAAAATATTATCAGCCAAACATAAGAAATGAACTAAAGCCTGTGCTACA